ATCACATACAGAAAAAGGGGGGGGGGGGGGGGGTGTACTCATAGTCGTGCATGCCGTAGTCATTTGACCATTGACCTCGCATGTTGTTGTTGCCTTGGCACTAAACTAAAGCCTGCTCAGTGACCATCTCCTTCACATCCGTACCGGCCCAACTGACGCGGACGCCTCTCGCGTGGCGTGTGGCACACAAGACACCGGGGGGGGGGTGTTTTTCCCCATCACCCCCGCGGACCCACCTCGGTAACCCTGGCGATACTCTGCCCGTGGTCCTTGCCCCGCTTCGGCGGCGGCTCGACGGTGGACAGGACCCCGACCTTGCGGCCGAGGTTGTTGCGGATCACGAACCTGGGCCAAACGGTAACCACGCGGGTCTTGAGGAAGGCGCCCGAGAGGGCCTCGACCGTCACCCCGAACACGCCGGCCGGCGACTTGGCCTGACCGGAGGTCTTGACGGCGTCCGTCGCGAACGGCTGGAGGAGGAGGAGGAGGCGCGCACGAGACGAGGCGTTCAGGTAGGAAGGAGAGTTGACGCAGAGAGCGGGGGGGGGGGGGACACCCTCAAATTCAGACAAGGCTTTCTTGAGCAGGTTCATGGGAGGGGAAATTATGATAATTACCCAATGAACACACGCGCCGTAAATAGCACCAACACATACGATGGGGTGCGTCGGGGAGCGCCTTGAGCCAGGAGCGGGCAAGGTGCCAAACAGGCAGGGGGGGGGCTTGCAGAGCACTCTCGCCGGAGGGAAGCGATAGGAAACACACACACACACCGCGGGACACACGCCGTGCACCTGGATGGGTTGGGGCACGGAACACAGCAAAAGACACTCAAAACCCATGTGACTTCATCAACCACAAAAAAACAAACTGTACACAATGGTAAACCGGGTCTTTTGCCACCGAAGTCAGACATATCTTTGGTCGACGCCACTTTGAAGATAGGGAATCGTCCTCGACAGACGTTGGGGAACAGTGACCCCTCTTACACTCCACCATCTCCACAATGGCATGTGCTACGAAATACATCAACAGAAGCAGCAGCAGCAGCAGCAGGCGAGCGAGCCCACCTGACACCACCCGCGTCCCTGCCGGTCCAGGTCGAGCGGCGTCTGTACGAGCTTCCCGCTGACCTTGTCGTCCCAGAACCGGAACACCTGGTCGTCGTGTGACTCCACGAAGACCCCGCCCTTCCGCGTAGTCCCGCTTAACCTACCGCTGGTGCGGGCTCCGGCTGCCGCCGCCGCGGCGGGCGAGGGCACCGCCACCACGCCGCCGCTGTCCCCGAAAGGGTCGGGGTTAGCGGCGGCAGCGTTCGCCGGCGACGGCGGCGCGAGGGGCATCGGCGTTGGGAGGACCGGCGGGGCGGAGATGCGGCCTTGCTGGTCCCCGGTGGCGTGCACGAGGACGAAGTACATGCGCTTGGCGCCCGAGGCCTTGTTGCCGCCAAGCTTGACCTGTTTGTCGGGCGTGTACGAAAAGGTAAACAAACCCGTGTTGTTGTGCTTGTGCGTTTGTGCGGTTCAGTTGATTATCATCGGTCGCGCTAACCGGTCGGCCAATGAACACACGCCAGTTGTATTGCAGAATCACACACACACACAACCGCACTGAGACTGACGTCTTTCCATTGGTCAGCCGGTTAGCGCGGTCCATGCTAATAAACACACAAACACACACACACACACACACCTCGGCGCCCTCTATGAAATTCTTGGCGTAGACCTTGTAGCCGTTCGTGCCCGTCCCCGCCGGGTCGATCGACAGGTGCAGGTCGTCTTGGAAGGCGAAGCCCCGAGCGGCCAGCCACGACGGGGGCTTGGGGGCACGGGAGTCGAAGCACACGAGCACCCTCGACCTCTGGAGGGTCTGGAAGCTCGCCATGTTGTTCGCCTTCACCTTCTTGTCCCCCTGCGATTCGATTGGCCGGATCGATCGGTGGTGATTGTCGAAGCCATCGGTGATTGGTCGGTCCACCAGAGATCAAGCGGGCAGGAGTGCACACGGCGGCGGGAGAGAGAGGGGATTCCAACTTAGGCGTGCGAGGGGAGCACGGGGACAGGGAGACGATCTCGTGGAGGGCGGAGAGGTTCAGGGGGGGGGGGGGGGGGGGGGGGGGGGGGCCCTAAACCGGGGGGGCGGAAGTCTTTTGCCCTTTGGCCCCCCCCCCCCCCAAAGCCGGGGGGGGGGCCCCGGGGTTTTCCCGGGGCCGGGGCTCCCAATCCCCAAGCGGGAAAGCCCCGGGGGGTTTTGGGGGGCCCCAAAAGGGGGGGCCCGCCCCCGGCAAGGGGGTTGGGGCCTTTGGGTTTTTTTCTTTGGGGCGGGGGGAGACCCCCCTTGGATTTATTTTTTTTTTGGGGGGTTTCCCTCCCCAAAAACTTTTTTACCTTTGGGTACTTCCCCCCGGGAAACTTGCCCTTTTTAACCCACCGGGGGGGGATCTCCCCCCGTTGGGCGGGCGGGGGTTTTCCCCCCCCCCCCCCAAGGGTCCCCCCCCCCCCCCCTTTTGTTTCCCCCCCCAAAAAAAACCAGGGGAAAAAAAAAA